AGAGAATGACAGAGCAGGACAGCCAATGTCTTCTGCAATCTACACATGTTCATGAGTGTGCATACACATGCATATATGTGTAATACCACATAGATAAACACACCAAAGAAGATATGTGTAGCAGCGCGCGCGCACACACACACACACACACACACATATATTCTGGAACAATTTATATAGTGAACATTCTATAAATAAGTACTATGTTAACTTTTTAAATCTAAAAATTCACTAGTTATAAAATTTTTTTCTCAAAAGAAAGGAAAGTGTGTTCTCTGAAAAGTATATTTGATTTTACTTTCTTTCAAAAGTGAATAGGTAATCAGTTTAAACTTTGTAACTTAAATGGGAAGATACATGTGAAACCTGAGCAAAAGTAAGCAGGACAAGACAAACAGAAATGTAATCTTTTACTCCAACAATGTAAAATGAAAAGAGTAATAAAATTCTTGAAAAACAATTACCATGTGGAATTTTAACAGACTCCCTCAAAGCAGATTCAAAAACAGAGGAACACAATTAAATGAACCCCATAACCTTTACTTTCATGGTAATATTACAGTTCTGACTTTCATTACATTTAAATGTCCTTTAAAAAAAAGAAACAAAATGTACTACTGACCTTTTCAAAAGGTCGGGTAACAATAATTCACTATTTCATTAAAGCACTAAAAGGTATTATGTAGTAACTCTAGCCTAACTTCATAGCCACACATACACACACACACACACACACACACACACACACACACAAACAGGTCTAAGAACGATATGAAATGCACAATGCACATGAAAGCAATTCTCCTCTACCTGAAAGAATAAAATTCAAAGTCCCAGATTTGTGAAATCCAGACACTGTAAAAGGTCAAGTATCATAAGTGGGTCAATACTTGGTTTTTTCAAGAAAGTATGCAAAAATAGACTTTCTGTAGCTAAATCAACTAAATAGTACTAATATTTCTCAAGAAGCAAAATTTTCAAGCTTCCAGACAACATAACTACAGAATTATCGAAATCTGTATGTCCTGACACATCCCATCAGAAAACTAGAGTGATTGATAGCATAAGCAAATAAAATGACCAAAAAAAAAAAAAAGGTTGACAATCAGAAGTTATAGAACACAATAAATTTGTAATTATTTGTAGAAGGGAGGAAAATCACTTTCAAGTAGAGCTTCTTCTGGTGTTCCAACAACAATGAGAGTATTTATTAGGAGTATTATCAAAAAAAAAAAAAACATAGGCAAAACATTGAGGGGATTGTGGGCAATTGCAAAAATAACAAAGATTCTGGGAGAACGGAGCAATGACAATAAATATGAGACTTAATATGTACCAAATGCTCAAGTAGAGGAGGCAATGGATGGCCATACTTTGTCTTAGCACTCAGAAAGGTGACAGGGAGCATCATGAATTTGAGGCTTGCCTAGGCCACATGTTGAGACACTGCTTTTAAAAAAGGAAAAAAGAAAGAGTCCAAATGTCTGAAACATTTTTTCAGAGCAGGAAAAAAAACTGTTCATTACAAAGAAAAAAAAATAACAGTGGAAAACTTAAGCTCTTATAACAGAAATAAGAGCCCACCATATATCACCCTTCCCCCAAAAAAAATTAATTCATTAAAATAAACTGCACTTTCCATCACCAACAGAAGAGGGTGTTCTTGAATCAGAAATTTCACAAACTATTGCAAACAGCAAAACGCTCACAAACTCAAGTATCTGTGACACCCCCCCAACCCAAAAGTGTTGCAGCACATAGACAGACAGTGAGAAGTAAAGTGTCTCAGGTGATGGCAGAATCCAGGAACACACCAATTAGAACAAGGACTAGAGTGTCAGGAAATGAACATCTCAAGTCTAAGATGTCTGAAAGCCAAGACCAGAAACTGAAAGAAGCAATGGACTCATTGACTAAACTCAGAAAGGAAATTAAACAAATCAAAAAGACATTGAGACGAGAGAGTAAGTTCAAACATGCTGAAGGAAAAAAACACAGTAAAACAAAAGTTCTTAACAGTGGAGTCAAAGCAAGAAAAATGCCAAATGACCATGAAAAAAAAAAAAAAAAAAAAAGGATGAGGTTGAAACCACCAGTGAAAGTCCAATACACACACAATAGGAGACACTGAGAAGAGTATTTACAGTCATAGCCTAACTCCACATTCTGCAAGTCACCACACTAAAATGGACACGTTTTCATGAGGAAAAATGAGTCATAATAATCTAGTCTGAAAAAACATCAGAATTTAAAACTAACAAGAAGGGGTCAAACAGATGACTCAGGGGTAAAGGAAAATGCCATGAAGCCTGAGTCAGTTCCACCCTGTGACTCCTAAGATGAAAGAGTGAACCACTTCCCTATTATCCTTTGACCTCCAGATTACACACTGTAGAATACATGTACCGGTATAAATGGATATATACACACATGGACATACACACACATGCAAACATGTACAAACATATATGCACATACACACATATATGCATACACATACATATGCATGTACATTCACAAATGCACATGCACACACACAAAATAAGCAATGTGATTTTAAAGGAAAAAAATTTTTAAATAAGTTTTTAGAGGAAGAACTGAAAGCTAGGAGACATAAACATATACTATGAAAACCAATCTTGTTTTGGAAGGAGGAAGCTTAGGGCTGAATCCATGGATTCACACACAAGCACAGGTTCTACCACAGAACTCCCCAGTCTAGTCTACAAAGGAATCTTCCAACCCCCTCAATCCTGCAATAATCCAAGCAGGCAAAGTCGAAATCTTGTAACATAAGAGTCATTAAATACAGCACACAGAAAAGTACTGCTTCACTTGTACAGCCAAATTAACCTCTGTTCATGTTTAACAAAAATAAAAGGAAGCCCAAAACAGTTAGACTCTCCTCAAATAACAACCACTTCTTACAACAAAAAAACATCCATGGTGGGCATACTAACAAACATATTAGGCATCCAAAGAAGAAAAATAAGGCCACAGTGGAGTGAAAAGTCATGAGACCAAATACAAAAGCTGGATAAATTATAGACTCCAGGGGAACTAGCTGCCATCTTATGGTGACATTCACACACATTATAAGATCAGTAACAGAGGCCTCTGGCCAATAGCTGTGTGAGTAATCTTGAAAGTAGCTTCTCTGCCACTATTTAACTTTCAGGTAGTCAAAGTCCTGGCAAGCATCTTTATTGGAAGTTCATAAGAGACCCTGATCAGGACTCACCCACCAAGGTGTTTCGGAATCCATGATCTGCAGAAATGGATAATTAGTATGTTATTTTAAGGGTTAGAAACATGAAGCAGCAAGAGGTAATCAGTATGAGGGCTGCAGCACAAGCCCTAAGGGCATCAACTGAAAGAGTCACAGGTGCCAGGAGCCTTAGGACTGAAGTTTGGATCCCGGGAACCCAGAAAAACGCTGCCTACAAAACCAGTTCTTGCCAGGTAAACACAAAAGACCTCAGGGACAAGATGCCTAATTAGACTGGCTAGAATTAGCAAGTCCAGAACAAGAGACCTACTATAATAAGTAATGTGAAGAGCTAATGAGGCAAACATCCAAAGTAAACCTCTGGCCTCCTACACACACACACACACACACACACACACACACACACACACACACACACACACACACACACACACACACACACACACACACACACACACACACACACACACACACAAAAAAACGAAAACGAGAGAGAGAGAGAGAGAGAGAGAGAGAGAGAGAGAACACAGACAGAGAGGGGGAAATATCATAAATAATTTAAGCCCATAAATTCAGAAACCCAGATGAAAGTAATTCCTTGACTAACACAAACTACCAAGGCTCATTCAAGAGGAAAGAGCCTAGGAATAGAGAACACACCTTTTATCTATTCACAAATAATTTATTCACATAAAAACTGATTCTTAAGGCCCCCAAAATGTATCCATAACTTCCACAGTGAGTATTTTATTTTAGCAAAACTAAAAGCTGTAACAAAGACTGAAAGTAGGAAATTCAGAAATATTTCTATTTAACTAACCCTGAATGAAGAACTACAAGTAGAAATTATATAAACTCCAGAAGATAGTGAGGAAACACTATAAGCATCTCCAAGAGACTTAAAACAGCAAGATGAGGAAAACGCAATATGAAAGGCAACACCTTAGAAACTTAGAAAATGTGCTGTCACTAGCTAATTTGGGACAGTGCAAACAAAATAAGGGAAGTAACAAGTCACAAACACAGTCAGTCAAAAAGAAATAAGATGGGAAAGCTATTCCTTATAGCAAAGTACCAATCCATAAAGTGATGGAAAAGGCATGAGGGTGATGGAAATGGCATGGTACATTTGGCATCAATCACTATTACTGGCTGACTGGAGCCAAGAGCCAAGGATTGAGACTCTATGATATGCATGTGAATGTGTAATGGCCCAAAGAACCTCACCAAAAAGTACTTGGTAATTACAAAAGACTATCTGGGAGAAGTCACTCTAGTCTGGTAATGGATGCTACGACTATCAACATTGGGAGCAGGTGACTTCCTATGCCTTGAGGGGAACACAGCACTCTTTCTGAGGTGACCCTACCCAAATGCATTACCAGAATTTAATGGTGAGAAAATATCAGATCTAATAAACTAAAGGCTTAAAAATAAAAATTCACGTTAATAAAAACAGACTTAAAACTTCTCCAAAATAAAGAGATAATAATTAAATTCACCTATGAAATTCACACCAGATAGCAGTTTTAGTAACTGTACTGAAGTTAGGTCTGAGTGGACCCTTGTCTTTATAAATGAATGCTAAATTATTTGGAGATAAAGAAGCAAGAACTATGTCTATGATTTAATCTCAAAAGGTAAGGAAATGTGCATACAGGACCAACCACAATGGCACCCTTGAGGAGCCAGTTTTGCTGGGTATATTTTAGGCAGTGTTCAAGACTTAACAGAATATAAAAATTAGAAATTACCTACATCAAAGGCTAACTTGTTTCTAGTGGAATCTGATGGCTGCAACTATTTCCTAAAGTGCTACTGCAGATACACAAGTGATGTACAACACTTGGTCTGTCTGTCCTGTCAAGCCCTTGCCTGGCATGTGAATGGCTACAGGTTCAACCTCCAACACCTCACATGTCACAAACCTTGAACTTTTATGAATGTCTCTGTGAAAGAGAGTGAGAAACAGTTTAACTGGCTATTTCAACAATTAAGCAATAAAAGATGGATAACACATTTTCCTTCTACTATTACAAAATATAAAGTCTTTTTTGTTCACATGGTTTTGAAAACACAGTAAGAAGCACAAGCTTCCTGTATGTTCACTAGTCACACATTTTCTTAACTTCCTGTAATGCTTAGGGATGCATCAAAGTTTCACCCTGAAACAGACTTGAAAATGTGCTCAGTATTCTAGAGACTGTGTTTTTAGGAGACCTCAACACACATGGTAACTAATGACTCCTGTCACTAAGGGTAAAGTTACACACAGTTGAGTTTAATATGTAGAGGGAAAGTCCATACTCGAAATCCAAAACTATCGTATTTGTTATAGCATGGAGAAGCAGGAAATAAGTTTTTGTTTCATTTTTTTGTTTGTTTGTTTTGTTTTTTTTTTAATACACAAAGTTTCTAGGTTATCTGATGCCATCGCAGCAGAGGTATCTGGGTTCTCTAAATTTCCCAGGATTTGATTTCAACTATTAAATGATGCTTTTTTTTTTGGACTGTTTCTTCTTAAGTTCTACTTAATATTGGACCCAGAGTGCTCTGTAAAATTCAAAATCCTGAGTGTAGTAACAGAAGTCAGGGAGGGGCTCAGCAAAGGAAACTGCCCCTTGTCAAACTCTGGCAAGCCACCAGCGAGCCGCTCCGCCCTCCCGCCGGCACCGGCACCGCCCACAGCGACTGCGCAAGCGCAGTGCCTGAGCGCTGGTTCTCCTGGCTGGCCCAAGCCCGCCAGGGAGGCCGGGTTTAGGCTGCGCCGCGAGTGACAGGCTCAGGCGCGAGACCATGACCCCGCAGGGTACCTGAGCCGAAATGAATCCCTCATACACAGTTTTCTCCCGGTTCCGAGGAAGCAGCAGCGGGAAGTAGCGCAACAGGTTAGCATCTCCCTCTGCCATGGCGCGCAGGAATGGCCGCCGCACACGCGCAGTGTGCGCGGAGGGAGGGGGCGGGCATCCGCATTGGCGGGAAGAGTGTGGCTCCTCCCAGCGGTGCTGGCTCCCGCTGCTCTGCCCTGTTCATCTGGGCCAGGTAGTCCAAAAGAGGGGAAGAAGTGCACTCTCAACGCCTTGGGTCTGAGTCATCAGGATTATTCTGGCCCTGGCTCTGAGAAAACAAAAACAACAAAATCCTCCTCTGATTTTACTGAAAACTGCTGCAACTCCAAGAGCCAACTTTCCTCCCCTGAGAGAGCTTCTATAGTGTGCATGTAGCATACTGCCTTTTACATCAACCTGGCTCGCCTTCTGTCTTGTTCTTGTGTTCCCTGAATCGCTAGCATACCCTAATATACCCTTCAACCAGCGGCATATGTAAATAAATTGTAGTATATTCAATACAGAATTTGTTTGACAGAATTTGTCACGGTATTTTGGGTGCTTAGAGCCAAGCAATGGTGATACTCACCTTTAATTCCACCAGCCACACTAGTTAGCCATAGAAGCTAGGAAGTGATAAGCACACACCTTTAATCCTGACTCTGGAGACAAAGGCAGCTGGGTCTCTGTGAGTTCAAGGCCACCCAGGATTACTTTAGAGTGAATCAGTCTAAAAAGAAACAACTCACACAAAGGAAATCTCAGCACTTGGTATCTATCCCACGCCTTTAATCCCAGCTCTAGAGACCTATAAAAGATAAGAGCAGGGCATTCAGGATTCAGTCTCAGAGATTTATTCTCCAGCCACTCTGAGGACAGAACAGCCCTTTCAGCCTAAGGTAAGAGCCAGTGGCCAGGTGCTTTACTTTTCTGATCTTCAGTTTGAACCCCAGTATCTGTCTATGGGTTTTTATTATTTGTGTTACACACAAATGATTCTAATGCATGCTGAATTAACATCTGTTCAGTCATGCAACTAGATGATTAAGAATGCTTAGAGTATGTACTATGTGATGGGGTACAGTTAAGGCTGTTCAACAGTGGGACCATACAAGATTAAGATGTGTAATCTCATCGAGTACTTTATACCTTTTCCACTAAGACCTGTCATTTTTAGTACTTCAATCTCTCCCATCACCATGCTTTTCCTGTGGAAACCATTAACCTTTCTTCAACATCCTTCTCAAATGCTCTTTATGGGAATTTTCCTTGTCTTCTGCAATTATTGCTATGCTCAATCATTTAGTTCAATCCCTGGTTCAGCATTAACTATTAAATGTCTTATTCTACTCAAGCTGCTATCACAGAAGTACCATAATCTGGGTGGCTTCTGAACCCCAGAAATTTATTTCTTGATGTTATTCAAAGAGGAAGTATGTAAAAATCAAGGCTTAAGTTCTACATTTGATATCCAGTGGTGAGTTGCCCTCAAGATACTAGTCTTTTCCCTATAATCTTACATCGTGCTCACTGCTGTCATTTATATATACTATCCACAGTAGCCAAAGACAGTTGGTTCCTTGCCTCTGAACTCTCATTAATAACTTAAAAGATTTTTTTAAGTATTTTTGAGGGAAGCAGTCCTAAGTTATTTTCATGGTGATTAAATCCCTAATGAAAATTTCCCAAAAATAAACATACTAAACTAAGAAATGTATCCATTGTCAAACAAAACAAAACAAAAATAGTACATATTCAGTGGTCCAACTACTATGCTGAGGGATTCTAGACTGAGTGGTAAAAACTTGTGTCATCAGTTCATAAAGAAGCACAGAAAAGTCAACTACAGAGAATACTCAGTATATCTGACCCTCAGAAAACTAACGTACTACTTCACCATTAATAAGATTTAAATTTTGGTATTTCTTACAAGCTGCTTGAGGTACTTCAGGATCCACTCCAAATTTCAAGCTCTTTGAGGCACCTTATGTACTATTTCTTTTGTACAGTGTTTCACAAAATAGTACTCTTTAAATGATATGATTTTGGAATGTCCTAACTTAGAAAAACTTACACAAACATTTTGAAGAATAAAAAATAGAAGTTCTACAATTGTATATGTGGTATTTTAAATAAGAAAGGCCCCATTCATATTCTCTCTCTCTCTCATTTTCTCTCTCTCTCTCTCCCTCCCTCCTTCCCCTCCCTCCCTCCCTCTCTCTCACCTTCAATTAATTTTTATTGAAATTAAAAACAATCTTATTTTACATACCAACACCAGTTTCAAAACAACTCGGAGATACCATCTTACAACTGTCAGAATGGCTAAAATCAAAAACACCAAAGACAGCTTATGCTGGAGAGGATGTGGAGAAAGGGGAACACTCCTGCATTTCTGGTGGGAGTTTAAACTTGTACAGCTACTGTGGAAATCAGTATTGTGATTTCTCAGAAAATTAAGGATCAACCTACCTCAACCCCCTGCAATACCACTGTTGGGCATATACCAAACGAGGCACACCACAAGGACATTTGCTCAACTAAGTTCATAGCAACATTATTTGTAATAGTCAGATCTTGGAAATAGCCTAGATGCCCCTCAACTGAAGAATGGATAAAGAAAATATGGTGTATTTCCACAATGGAGTACTACTCAGTGGTAAGAAACAATGACATCCTAAAATTCGCAAGCAAATTAACAGAACTGGAAAAAAAAACATCCTAAGTGAGGTAACCCAAAACTAGAAAGACAAATATAGGCTTAAAGACAGACAGAGAGAGGAGGGGTGGTATAAACAGTCTTAGAAAAAATAATAAAGTCTTTAAAGAATAAAGTCTTTAAAGAAAAAAGTAAAATAAAAAATAATAAGCCATGTAGAGATGGAAGATACACAGAGAGTCTGGATCCTGTATGGTGTTGTACTAACTTTAAATGTTTTGATTGCTGATGAATGAGTGATACCTACTAAGAGACATTGGATTATGGAAGCTGCTGGATGAGACCAACTTATATATTTTAAAAGTGTCTTGACTTCAAAATGGAAGTCAAAAGGTGTGTTGCTCTGGGGAAGAGGCTATGTTTTTGTTCACACAGAAAACAAAAAGCTGTGGATTCATTCAGGGTTGAAGAAGATCAGGCTTGACCAGGGAAAACGCCCTGAAAATCCTGGTTACAGACATAAAGAAATAAACCTTAAAAAAAAACTACTGGACAAGTAATGTATATTGTATCTGCTCAAACATAAAATAAAAAATCATCTTTAACTGACTTGTTCACCTCACATTCTATACTCGTGTTAATACAGATATGTTACCTTTAAAAGTTTATGTGTTTTCAGAACAAGGGCGTCACACACCAATGAAAATGGATGGCCCAGGTGATCCAGCCTCTCAGAATACCTCTGCTGCAGTCTCCTCAGAGTTCTGCATCCAAAACAGCTTCAAGGCTGCTGGCTAAGACGCTTCAGCCTCACAGACTACTCCAGTCAGAACTTGAACATTATCCTGATTTTTTCAGGGTCCTCCAAAGATGCTAGCACCCCCAGACAACAGGAAGCGGTCTAGAGAAGATGATACCCATCTTCTAAGAGATGGGTTATGGATGTTTGTCATAATTTGGGGGGGGGGTGTTTACAAGTTGTTATTGGTCATGGTCAAGAAAAAAGCTAAACAAAGGAGTTAGATTCAAGGATCTCTTTTCTAAAGGAAAAAAGGGGGATATAATCTAGAAATGATGAAACAAAAGAGTACATTATTGAATCGACTTTAATCCCAAAAAGCAATTATTAATCTCAAAATATTTTAAATTGGTATAGATTTTGGTTTATTGACACAAGTTTAAAGTTATTTTTGTTATACTGTATGTAGGTTTATACTCTTGTTTGGGGTAGTGTGTTTATGCAACTCATTTAAAAATGTAACATATAATTAAGAAATACAGGATAATAGTCATCTATAATAATTAAACTTTGAGTCATATTAGGTATGTATTCAAGGTTAAAGATATATTTAGAGAGATAGATGGTCTTCAAGTACTTCAAGACTTACAGAATATGGCATTTAAGATGTTAGTAACCTGAGTCTTTTCATGACAGTGAATACACATCTGCTCCTAACAGCACCAATCTACTTCAGAGAAAATGATGGGTGTCAAAGAACCTCCATAAGGAGTTTAATTTCTTTGAGGCAAAAGTTAGCCATTTGGGCAGGGAACTGCCCGTGCCTCAACTGCTGCCAGTATGCTGTCCAAATTGGACAAACAGAACACAAAAGAAAGTGAATCCTGAACTTTGCCAAGACAAGGTAGGACAGTCCTTCAAAATTTCCTATGTCTCGGAAATGTCTATCAGACACCCTAGGCCTGCACGTCAAAGATAGATGCTCCAATGTTGCAGAGGAACTTAGAGTCACTGTCCAGGCAGCCAGATGTCCCTGATGTTAGGTAATATTACATCCTTCTGGGTTCTTTGATGGAGTTAAAGACTATATAGTTAAACTTACAGTTTTCCTTAGTTATGATAAAAAGTAAATTAGGTATAAAACTTTAGACTCACAAAGATAAGATAATATAATATTTTCTCTAAATTTGTCAAATACAAATGGACTGGATATTGTAACTGTAGTTCTTACTTGATAACTGTTTTGGTTGTATATAGTTTTGCTATGTTAAAGTTAAAACCTTCTATTTTAATTAGACAAAAAGGGGAAATGTTGTAGAATAATCTTTTGGTATACTGTGAGGATGTGTTGCTCACAATGGTTTAATAAAGAGCTAAATGGCTAATAGTTAGGCAGGAAAGGTTAGGCAGGACTTTCAGACAGGGAGCGAGCTCTCTAGGGCAAAGTCGCCAGGAGATTATGAAGCAAGATGAACATGCTGTGTTAAAGAAAGGTACTGAGCCACATGGTAGAACTTAGATAAGAAATATGGGTTAAATTAAGTTGTAAGAGCTAATTAATAACAACCTCCTTCCCTTCCTCCCTCCCTTCCCAAACTGCCCTCCTCCTGTTGTCCTGTGTATCCTTGGTTGTCCTGGAACTTGATCTGTAGACTAGGCTGGCCTCAAACTTACAGAGATCTGCCTGCTTCTGCTTCCTGAGTGCTGAAATTAAAGGCCTGCACCACCAC